TATGGTGGCCAAGACCACCACTGGCCACCCCCTGGCTCCTCCATTGCACCTGGCGATGGATAAAATTGCTCCCTCCACTCACCAGGATCTGTCATTGTGCTGCCTTGGACAAGCAAAGAAACAAAACAAGAAACGACAAAAGACACCTACCTCTGTTCTTCTACACAGTGGGACTGCTATCCACTTGAATATGTTGCATCAAAAACCTCAAGGTTCACTTACATTCCCAGTTCAACTCCAGTCCAAAACGACACTTATCACAAGAACTACAACAATAAAAAATTTAAATCTGTGAGCGATGGGGGACATTGGTGTACCGCTTGTTCATTCTCTTAATATGATGATGTATTATTTATTAAATGTGTCATAGTTAAATGGTTGCACACAGTTAGATGAATGAGTGGTTCATCAAAGCACATTTTGCAACCTGTCCTGTATGGCTGAACCTATTCCAATCAGAAGTACTATAATTAGCAACCTTTTCAATGAGCGTTCAGCTCAAAGTATTTTCACCACCAGAGCTATCTATTTTCTACACTCTAGAATACAACGTTGTAATGGACTCTAGGAACAGAATCCATAAGTACGGCTGTCTGAAAGCTAGTGTAATGAGGGCGTCGACACCCGAATAGCCAGACAGTTTGACACGCACACACTCACTGAAGGCACGCTGCCATTTGTTAGTCTCCAAACTGAGGGGTGGCCCTCGCTTTCTTCAGGCCACTAATAAGCTGTTAGCATGACAGATGGATACTAAAGCAGGCACAGTGCAAGTCAGTGCTTGAATTATCACGCACTTAGAGAGGCAGGGCTTCGGAAACCCACACCTCTCTCTGCCCTCGTGCTTTCAAAGTGTTACGTGCCCAGCTGCTTGGGCCAGTAGACTCATTTCAGATGACTAGATAGAGTGACAGAATGAACAACATGGGGAGGTTACATTGGAATTGCTTCAGTTAATTGAAATTTGTCTTTGCGTGACGCGGTCGCTCAGACAATGCCTTACCTACCTGAGAGTCACAACTATGTGGTAGCAGAAGCTGACAGTGTTTTCTTGGAATTGTGGGAGTTCTTGCAGGTCCAACACAGATGAGTAATGGCAGCAGCTTCTGACAATGACAGAATAAAACCACAAAATGGTAGTCATTTTACTTAGGTGATATGGAAATGGGCTGATGCCAACACGCATTAAGCTGCTGCATGCTGTATCGATTATTTTATGGGAAAAGGCATTGCACAGCAAAAGAAAGGACACCCTATGATGCAGTAGATCCATTTGTTTATTATGTATCGGTGTTGTTTTAATTCACTGACTCAAACTCTCCCTTCAGGCTTTCACAGCAGCCAAATTCTTTTTTTAATTAATTTTTTCCATTTTTTTTATATAGAGGGATCAATTTTATTTAGACTCCTTTTGATGCTGCATCTGTGGCAGCTATAATTCTGGGCTGGGTGACAGATTTCCTTCTTGGCTCATTTCTGCAGCAAAGACAGAAGAGGATGATGTGAACTTAGTTTTGAGGAATCGTGGTTGTATTTTGTTGAGAAGTAGCTCAATAACTCACGCAAACTGGCTGAAGGTTTGCTGTTTCCCTTCACTAACTAGGTAATAAAAAACAGAAACGGTTACGTACTTCTTAGCAAAGCTACACAAAAATGTAATCTTGCTCATCTAATCATGCTCTGCATGTTAGTTTGAACTTGAACAATTTTGCACTTGAAGCAGAAAACATACATTTGTGGGAACTTGGGGAAAAAAATGCTACTTATCGTACTTGCCGCCGTAAAACTTGCACCGCCGTATAAGTTGCATCAATCCGAATATGTCTAATAAAGTGGAGAAAAAAACATAAATATGTTGCTTCGCCGTATAAGTTGCAACTATCATGCTTCACCGCTGACGCCTCGCGTTTGTTACGCCTCGCGTTTGTTACGCGTCACCGCTGACAACCCGGGAATGTGGGCCGGTGTTGTATCAAAAATCGATTGGCTGACAAATGGGGGCCGTGGGAGAGTGCACGGTAGGACTTTAACCTGAATTTAACAAGATTAATGCTTAAAAACAATTATTTGTTTGCTTGACATTATAGCAAAGACTGAGAATCTTCACTAGCATATAGCAAAGGTGTGTCTCAGTTGAACTTTTCCTTAATAAATGCACTTTGACGGTCAAATCAGCTGCATTTCGCCTGGGCGGCGAGGCGAAATGCAGCTGATTTGACGTTTGCTCCAGGAGTTCCGGAGCGAGACCAAGGTGGCTCTGTATGGCAAGCCAAGTGTCTCATTAGTAGCCTCTTTTACCTATTAATGACACACTTGGCTTGCCATATTAATCGAGGGCCCTCTAGTGGCTGAAAATGGTAGTGTTCAATATTTCCCCATGTCAGAATGAATGAAATCATCAGATCTCAGCCAAAAATTGGTTTATAAATATGGGGGGGAAACATAAATATGTTGCTTCGCTGTATAAGTCACAGGGCATGCTAATTTATGCAACAAAAAAAAAGTGACTTATACAGCAAAAACTACGGTAGCTCATCTAACCATAAACGCCCAAACTGCTCATAAGATGTCATGAAATGACTAAAACAACAAACTATTTTTTTTTTAAATATAAATATACAATTCATTTTTTTTGTCCAAAATACAAATCAAAACAGTACCATTTTAAAACAAAGCTGGTCTGTGAGGGTATATATTTGAGTTTATTTTCTATTAATCTATCAATTTTCTCTTTCTCTGTTCCGTTCGTCTGGAACTAAATCATTTCTGCACTAATACACTATCAGTGGTGGGCACAGTTCGTTTTGCTAACCCATATGTTGCTAACTAAAAAAAATTGCTTTGCTAACGTTAAACAGGTAAAAATATTAGCGGAAGCTAAAGCTAAACTGCTAACCACTAAGATGACTGTCAGTTTGCATCACGTCTTCGTTACCGTCCCGTTTAAGTTGAAGCTGTGTTGGGTTTTTTTTATTGTCTGAGGCAGCGCTGAGTGATGGATCCTGTCAAGTGGAGGAAGGCATTTTTTCCACCACCAGGCCCAATGGCAGAGCCAGAGAGTGGTTAACGATGGCCTCGGCCACCATATGCTTTTCTTTGACCACTCCAATCATTTAAGAAAACTATACATTTAAGCATATTGATGGGTGATGTGGGGTACGGTGTCTTGCCCAAGGACACCTGAGCAGGCTGCAGGGCTGAGGATTGAACCCCAGACCCCACGATTGGAAGCTGACGAACTTACCCCCTGGTAGCTTTATTCCTAACAGGTTTACAAAGATCATACTGGAAAGAAACAGTGGCTAAGTTTTTGTATTTGCTAAGGTTGCATGGCTGTGGCAGCCACACTGAACATGTTTGATTCCAGAGTTAATCCGTTGTAGATGTGCATCCTACGATTATTTTCTGGGAGTATCATCAAATGAAGGTATGCAGTGAATTCATGAGCTATTTTCTTAAAAGTTTTACTTTTCTCATTTTCAATAGCCCTCCATACAACCACAGACAGAGGTGAAGAGAAAAAGATGAGCTGATTCAGGCGAAAACATAAAAAAATATATTTTTCAATGCAGCTAGTAGGATTTTGCCCAACATGATAAATATAACTTATCACGATCATGTGTTTAATTTATTTAAGGGCTTTCATGGAACCATGAGGCCCCTCCCTGTAGAGCAGGGGTCCCCAACCTTTTCTGCACCATGCACCGGTTTTATGCAAGACAATTTTTCATGGACCAGCTGCAGAGAATGTGAGGCGGGGTCACGCGCATAACAAAACACAATTAGGTGTATCATTTATTATTTAATTGTAACATCTGTAATAGAAATATAATTGTAATTTTATATTTTGCCATTTAAATTCTAATGTAGTTTTATGATTTATTAAATCTAACATCTTATCAATGCTGTTAGCCACTAAATACAATGCTCTCAGCGCAGACACATTTAATGGCGTGGCGGCCTTTAATAATCCTTTCTGATCTTTGATATTCACTTTTTTCCCTTTAAAATACTCCGTCTTTTATTTTAATGAAGGAGCTCGGTCTCCATGTGGTGAAGCCGTTTTGAAGGTTTCGGGGCTTCGAGGGATCGTGGATCTCCACGTCTCACACAGAGCGTGTGACTCCTCTGATGTGATGAACCTGAAGGACGCCTGGTGTTTTCTTTTAAATGCAGCTTTTATTTTGGTGGCGGTTGTGGAGTCTTCTGGTGTCTTCATCTGGCCTGTTCTATTTTTCAAAGAATTTCCCTAACAATGTTTTTTTTTTTTGTTTTTTTTTACCAACTTTTACTAAAGTTAGTTTGAGAGCTTACAAGTGAAAAAAAAAACTGTGACTGAGTCAAGGAAGCACTAAAATTGCGCTGACAGAAGTGATTGATTTTCAAAATAAATACCATGCAGACTAATAGAAATATTAAATAAAAATGTAACTTCTTTTTTTCTATGCGACCCGGTACCAAATGATCCAACTGGTCCGTGGCCCGGTGGTTGGGGACCCCTGCTGTAGGGGATAAAAACATACCAGAACACTTTGCTGTGGCCCTTTTGTCCATCAACCCTCCTGTACTGGTGCCTCTCTGCTGGAGCGTGTTGAAGAGCAGCCGCCCTGAGCTCTGCCACGCTCTCGTTGTCTCTCTGCCCCCCCCCCCCCCCCAACCCCTCCCTCAGCCTGAGCTCAGTGGCTGCAAGAATGACTTGTCAAGCTTTTTCTCAGCTTTCTCCCTGAACTGTTTGCTTGTTTGATTCACATGTCCTCTTCTCTCCCCCTTTCTTCCACACACTCTCCATCTCACTCGTTCTCTCTCTCCTCCTTGCTTACTTCCACTCTGCAATGGCTACCTGTTCTCTCTAACCTCTGTTTGTCCTCGGTCTCGTTTTTTTTTTTTTTTTTTACTTGAATGCTTCTCTCTCCCTCTCTCTCTCTCTCCCTCTCTCTCTCTCTCTCTTTCTTCACTTGGCTGTTGCTTTTCCTTCTCTCCTCCTCTTCCTCTCTCGCCTTGGCTGTTGCTCTTCTTTTCTCTTCCTCTACTTCCTCTATCTGTCTGTACCAGGAGCCATGGCTAATCATCTTATAACTAATGCTCTCCTTCGTCCCCATGGTACTAACAATCCTTATAACACTCTCCTGGGGGACTCGGCAGTCTATAACAACCCAGCCGTGGGCATGTACAACACCCAAGGTGTGCCTAATGTTCCTATTCTGACCGTGCAGCGTTTAAAACCTTAGCTTGGAGGAGTTTCTTTATATTTTGCATGGAGCTTTTTTCTTTATTTAATGTTTTGATTCAGCGTTTTGATGGATCAGACAGTAATATGCATGCATGCATAGAATAAATTGTGTCTCTTAGTTGCAGATTGACAGTTTGTAGAAGCTTCTCGTGACAAACTAACCCTTCTGTTGTGCTCAAGTCAAATACGATTGCCTTAAAAGTTTTCTTGAGGAAATGAAAGGATTTCTACTGATCTCAGTGACATGAGATTTTATAACTTCATTACGCAGTGTTTTAATTTAAGTTTGATTATTCTCATTCAGTTCTGTTCATTTCTTTGGTGTTCTCAGTCAAAACTAATCAATGATTAGACTTTAGGTGAATAAAATTGACTGCAACAAATGGACAAATTCATTTCCCACACCCCTGCATTTGTATTTACCTGGACACACGCATACAAACACACACACATATTTGTCTTTCTATCTTTATGGGGACTTTGTATTGACTTCCATTCATTTTCCATAGCCTGACCCTTACTCTAAACCTAACCATTACCAGTACATACCTAACCATAACCCACCAATGACACTTGAACCTTATGCAGACTGGGCTTTGGTCCCCACAAGGAGCAGTTGGTCCTTGCAAAGTAACATGAGCAAGCACACACACACACCTCGCTCCCCTTGTTTAGCCTCTACGACAACACGTGTGGGAGTGAGAACCACACCTGTTGACATTTCCACAAACAATCCTAACATCGGTTCATCATTATCTAAAACCTTTTTCGCAGCTCTGCGATATAAAATATATTTTTGAGATCTTTCTCACAAATTATTTCTTGGCAGCACAAAAACAAACTGTTATTTAGGCCCTTGGATGTGTTAAATCATGACACTCCTTAGGTTTGACACAAAAATATGTTTATTTAGCTATTATTAAAAGTTTGAAACGATTTAAAGACAAATGTGTGATAAACTCGGACATAAAAATCTGTGATGAAAATGCAACATGTTGTGTCTTTACATTTAAAGTAGTGAAAATAAAACAAAAGTACATTTTTTATTCAAAAATTAGGAGTGAGCTCTGATCAGTGAGGCCTACAGGACATAAAACTCAAACAGTAGATCTAAAATGGTGCTGTTCATTAGAAAAGACATTAATAAAAACATCTATAACATTATTAATCATACATTTTATTATGATCAGATGGACAGTTTTGACCGGGTACACAAAAATAATGAGCAAGGAATGAACACTATAGGAGGGTTAAATATAATTTGTAGTTTGTGTGAATTTATTTGATTTCTTACTCGTCTTTGCTTCATTTTAAATGTTGCTCTGCATGTGATGGTGCTCATGTTGTACAGTGATGAAGTGCAATAATACATTATGTGTTTGAAATGTTAACTCTGTGCACTGACTGATTTTGCTTCTTTCTGTGCTTAAACAGAAAAAAATATAAAATCAACACAGTTTATTTTATTAAAAATTGAACAGGTTTGCTCTTCTCCATGTATAAACTTACATGTGCCTCTCTTTTCTCTTCTCTCCTTCCTGCGGTCCATCAGCACCCTACCGAGACACAAGTACGTACCACTTCACGATTAACTTTGTTCTCTTTTATGGCAGTCAGAACAAAATATTTAGCACGAGCTGTCGCAAGAGCTTTTTCCCAAACCGTGTGTCAGCACACAGTCATTTAGTTTGGCACAGTTTTAGATTTCTTGTCTATAAATCTTATTTTTAGGTTCCTTTTTCCATTGCATGGTTCTCAAAACAACATTTAATTGAAATAACGTCTCAAGTGTGAACATTTACATTTGAGTTACAGCTGAGCAGCAATCCATTTGACCAGTAAATTATTCGCAGGTCATCCATTTTAAGTGACACGTGAAAAAGCATTTTTGAACATGTCTTCAAAGATCTAACTTCTGTTATTATTATTTTTGTCTTGCTGCTGATGTGCTAGTTTTAACAGAGGAGAAGAAGAAGCTTCTCCTAAATGAATAATGAATGCTTGGAGCATTTTCTATTTCCTTCCAATGAAATTATCATCTGCTTACTTAAATCCCCAATTCCCAGCACACACTGTGTTATAAAACAATAATTAAAATCCTTCTTCGTAGAACACCCCCACCCCACCACCACCACCACCACCACCACCGGTGCAGTTTATTTTAGGAATTCTAATAACGATTACCTCTTGAATGACTTGTTCCTCAGAGGGCATCCTGAACAACGCCAGAGACGCCAGCGTTATGGACACACTTCCTCTTAATGGCAACCATGGCAATAACTTCAGCATGGCCAGCAGCGAGTACCTGAGCGACTGCGTTCAGATCCTGGATCGTAGCGGCGGGTACGGCACCCACAGCAACCACAAGGAGACAACCCTGGAGAAGAAGATCCTCAAGGAGCTGACCTCCAACTACATCCCTCCTTACCTGAACAACCACGAGAGAGCCACCACTGAGCGCAGCCACAACCTGATGAACAAGCTGGTCAACAGCAGCATGGCCAACGGAGGTGACTGCAACTTCATTTATCCACTTTTTGTTGTTTTAATAGGGTTTTAGTGCCAAACAGGTTCCAGTGTTAGATTGGAGACAATGCTAAAGCCAGTTTTTAACTGGTTTTATTAAAAAAAACTTTAGGGAATCAGTTGGGTTTTCCACAGCCAGAGAATAATTTTGATTATTACATCACTTAAAATGTTTCTTTAAGTAACACAAAGTTTGTTTTCTCAGTCATCCAGTCATTGGATGACTGAGAAAACAAACTTTGTGTTTTTGAAACCATTAGTGAAAAGGCCAGACTTCAGGGGTATCTGAGGCAGGCTTGAAACACAAGAGTCAGGGTGGCTTCTGGGTAATACCAGATGGCTAGGCCTCAGACTGACGAAGCCTCTTGGATGAGGGGCGAAATGTTTCTTTTTAACAAAAAAACGAAGTCCAGATGACATGATTCAACCTTTTTTGTTGTTTCTTTAAGTAAATAATTTATCTTAACCTCTGTTGTTTTCTGTATTTCTGTGAAGGATCACAGTACAAAGACTTCAGGGTTTGTCTTGTTGCTGCTAAAAACATCTATCTGGTTTTCTTTAAAGAGCTGTTCCGTCATGTATCAATAATTAGTACCGTATCAGCCATAGAGCACAGAGTATGGAGGCAGAGGCAATGGTTTTTGTCTAGGCTAAGCTATTGGCTAGCCAGTAGAGTGCCAGCCTGTCATTTTCCACTTTTATAAAACAACTATTCATTGTGGGGTCAATTGCAATGTGGAGCAGCCAAGAGAGAAGACAACAAGCACAAAAAACAACTTTTTTAAAAATGGCATGCCACTGTAAAAGAAAAGGGTACCACTTTACAATAAGGTTCCCCTTATAGTTAGCTAATACATAGTTTAAATAGACATTATTAATTCCTTTATAAACACTTTGTAAATCCAAAAAAGTTAAATCTGATCCTCTGGACATAAAAAAACAAAAACAAAACTAAGCAAAACAACAAAAAAAAATGTAGAAACGTTTCGTCTTTCATCCGAAAGATTTCCTCAGTCTTTATAAATCATTAATAACTGTTTATTGTGCATTAATTAAGGGTGACAAAGAGGCAAAACTAACAAGTTTCTTGCCAAATAGTCAGCCAAATGTGTTCACCTATATATTTCATCTAGAGTTGTTATAATAAACTTTTCAGACTAAGTTACTACCTTGTAAGCACAGTAAGCATTTGTAAACCTAATTTTTTAGCATATAATATTGTACTTTTTCACTGCATTATAAGTATCTACAACTAATATTATATCCTAAAAAAATAGGTTTACAAATACTTATTGTGCTTACAAGATAAATGGTAAATGGACTGTACTTATATAGCGCCTTTCTATGTGATCAAGACACTCAAAGCTCTTTACACTACAATCTGTCCTCATTTACCCGTTCATACAGCACTTTACTAGATCTATACAAAGATTAATCAGAGCTTTATCACATTCATACACTGATGGGACACATCAGAGGCAATGAGTGGTTCAGTGTCTTGCCCAGGGACACTTCAGCATGTGACTGCTGGTGGATTCGAACTCCCAACTCTTGCATTGGAGGACGACTGCTCTAACCACTCAGCCACAGCCGCCCCAGGTAGTAACAGGTAGTAACTTAGTTGGAAATGTTTAATATAACAACTCTAGATGAAATATATAGATGAACATATTTGGCTCACTATTTAGCAAGAAACTGGTCAGTTTAGTCTTCGTCACCCTTAATTAATGCATAATAAACAGTTATTAATGATTTATAAAGTGTTTATAGAGCAATTGATAACATATCTATAAACTATTTATTAGCCATCTATAAGGGGAGCCTTATTGTCCTCCTGATCAGTGCATCCAGTCGGTCCAAAAGTTTACTCAACTCCCAGTGGACTGATATTTTTCCAGCCTCAGCACCGTCAACATAAACCCTCAGCAGCAAACTAAACAACTGGAGTCTTCTGAAAGTGTAAATGGTAGGATTAAACATGGTGGGCGCAACACTTTATGAATTATTTTCTTAGCAAAGAATAGATACGTTTTAGTTTGGGAGTTAAAAGTTTACGTTTGACACATTTTTTGTTCTCTTCAACGGGATGAATAAGACATTACTCCATGGCTTTTGTTCTCTTGTTTCATGGTCACCAGTTAAGAAATATTTAACATGTTTTATCTGCAATCACTCTTTTCTTGTGGTCACCAAGGGGCAGACTAAAGAAATGACCAAATGATGGACATATTATCATCATAATAAGAAATGTTAGTCACAGGAAACCAATAGATATTTACTGACGTTTCTTCATGCTCAGGGCTGGTGTTTATACATTTGTAGGGATTTTTCTGTAACTAAAAGTGACGCCGAGGTTAAAAAGAAACGAGTTAAACAGCTGAATCACTACCATAATTTAGTAAGTTAAACCATAACATTAAGAAATATATTGAGATTAAAAAGTACAATGTATAAAACTGAGTCTCTAACTTTATTTTGGATCTGCAGATAAATAACTTCAGACATCACAGATCATTCTCCTCCTCTGCAAAGATCAGCTTCTATAAGATTATGTTGTTTTAATGCAGCATCCATTTTGGATTTCCAGTGAATATTGTGTTAAAACACTTGTAGTTACACATGAACAACAAATTGAAGCATTTAGAGACGTTTACTTCACCGATCGTCGAAAGCCCACCTTTTAGACATTAAAACTGTCCCACATGGGTGTTTTTGAGCGGAGTCAAGTGATAAACCTGTTTGTCGTTTTCTTCGAGCAAAACATTTTACTTTGCAAATAGAAATTGGATTGGCTTCATAATTAAAGCTACTTCTCCACTTTAGAGTGCTAAAATCATTAACACTGTAGTAACAGCAGCTCTGCTTCTTGCTCAGAACTAATTAAAAGTCATTCCTGATGCGTTGCGTTGTAATATTTCTGCTTGGTTATTTCAGGGAGCCTGGCTGGGGGCAGCAGCAGCAGCAGTGCAATTGGCGGCTGTGTGGGCAGCAGTAAAGAGGACAACAGTCCCATGGTTCTGGACAACCCTGCAGCCTTCCCCCACGATGAGAACCTCGGTTTGGAGATCATCCGAGAGGAGTCCAACGCGCCTCTCCTGCCGCCGCGGCCTCCTCCACCAGACAGCCACCCCCCGCCGCCGCCTCCTCTTCACAGCTTCTCCAGGCAGCGGCGCATCGCCCAGGAGCCCAGTGAGAGCTTCTTCCCCCTGCTGACTAACGAACACACTGATGAGCACACACAATCGCCAAACCACAGAGACTCGCTCTACACGAGCATGCCGGTGCTGACGGACCTCCCCGACGGGCAGATGAACGGCTTGACAGACGGAGAGGAGGACAGCTCCGGGGAGCTCCAGCCCTGCAAGAGTGCCACTGCTCCTGAACTGGATGATGTCTATTATAAAAGCATGCCAAACCTGGGCTCCAGGAATCACCTCCACGAGCTGCAGAACTACTACCACATGGGCCGGGGTGGCAGCGACGGGTATATGGTGTCTGGGAGCAAAGAGGAGTCTGACTCGTCACCTGAGGAGCCTCCAGTGGACCCTTCTCACCTGGTTACAAGTCTATAGAGCCAGCTGTCCCTCCTGTAACCATTTTCACACTTTTAAAGTTCCAATGAAGACATTGTGTGTTGTTGACTGACAGAGCTGGCCCACCCCTGGATTGATACACTGTGTGATATGAACGATGGTTTGTGACAATATAGACATCACTGGTCAAATACAAGGAAGGAGAGAATGTATTGTGATAACTGGTGCAAACCCAAAAGACATCTGTCAGCACCAAATAGGAAAATTTCACTTGGAACAGGGAGAGGTTCTGTAATTCCAACAAACCTGTTACTTTCATTTGGAGTCTTGGACTGATTGTAGCCTTGCAAGATCCCCAGTACACGCTTCACTTACTAGCAGATCGTAGAGGACAGTCTCCACTCCCCCCGCCTTTACGTGGGGAGGACCCTGGTTAATGGAGCTGCGTATGTCTCTGTACATCTCTGTCAAACTCTAAGACTTGGATGATAGTTTCACCTCTCCAAAAGTTAGAGCAGAATCTTCAACTCCGGTGTTCACAATATAAACTTTCACCCACAGAGATGCAGCATACCTGCCAATCAAGTGAAGGATGTTTTATATATATGCCCTCACTATCCATCATCCAGTGAAGTCCATATCATGCAGGCAGTTGAAGTGGAACCATACTCACGCCAATGTTCTGAACTCTTTCCCTGTTTGTATCTGCTAAACTGGAGTTGTGTCCGGGCTGGTGTAACATTCCTGCGAGTTGTAGTGACTACGGTTACTGTGTACTTCACAAAAAAAAAAAAAAACAAAGACAGAAGCTCATATTACAGCTCACTGAACTAAAGAGGAAGAATAAAAGACAGGGTTCGATCTTTTCTCCTTTCTTCTGTAAAAGTTTTCAGTCATCAAAGAATTACGAGGAATCACAAACTGTTTATGTATTGTACAGAATTCAGATACAAATGTTGCATATGACCAAGTCTTTTATTTTTTGAAATTCTGAGGTTTTTATTTTATTTATTTGAGGTTTTTATTTTTTTTTTTGCCTTTTGGACTGTTCTGAAATGTCACAATATATATTGGTCATGAACTGGCCACAGAAGGAGCAAGGAACAATTGCTCTTGATATTTTTTTCTTAAAAAAAATAAACGACAACAAAGCACTCTTTAATTATTATGCATATACGTTGCGCACATGACATTCTGGTCCTTTTATAGCACCACTGTCACATTTTGCAAAATCGGTTGTTACTATATACTTTACCACTGTGTAGAATTCAAGGTAAAGGGAGAAAAGTGAGATGTGATGGATGAGGAGGTTGCCACAGTGAAGCTATGCTGCAGGAGGAGCCTGGATGACGGAGATGGACCTAACAGATTGAGTTAATAACCTAAGACTGCTTTAGACATGATGTCATCTCTATTGCCAAGTTATTTAAATGGAGAAATATTGCTTCCTTAGTTTGAATCTTATTGAGAGGGGAAAAAAAAATACTCATAATAAAAGAGCTGTCAATCTCGTAGCTGTAACTACAAACGGGAGGATCTTCCATGTAAGATCGTGAACCGCCATTATTCCACTTTATATGTGAACTCATGAAAATACACACAGAAAAAGGTCCTGGCACATGACAGCATTATCCAACGTCGAAAGCCAATGTTTACTAATTAAAGAGAAAAAAATTAAGAAGTGTATGAAGTGTTGCTTGCACATCTATCCCACAAACCCCCTTTCATGTCCCCACGAGAGAAATTATTTATTTATCTGCTCATTGGTTTAATGAAAGCAAAAGAAGCTCAGAGGAAGGAAGGTTGGCTTTAGGCACGAGTTTAAAAAGTGGCACTGGGTTCGTCTTTATTTTTTGTTATGTTCATTTCTTTTTTAAATTATTATGATCATGGTTATTATTACGATATTACTGATAATTATTTATTCTTTTTTGTATGGGTTCCAAGTTGAATGATCTCATAACTAATATTTGTTGTAACAGTGAAAGTTGTTTGCCAACAAATAAATTACTGACATAGTCTGGTGGGGTGCTTTGTGACTGCGCTGAGTGATGTTGTTTTATGTTATTATTGAGATTTAGCATGAACAAGCGATATGCCGATGTCTCCATCACTGAGGGATGTGATTCGTGAATGTTTGTAGTTTTCAAGATTAATATTTTTCTGGACCAGGATTGAACAGGAAACAAAAGTAAACCTGGAATTCAACACGGCAACCCGATAGTGACTGGTGATAGTGACCGTTCTTACACCTAGATGCAGCCACACACCAAAATGGAAGATGGCACGTTGCTTATATTTCAAGTTATCCAGCTCACAAGGTTTACATAGATACATATATGGCGGCAGCCATCTTAGATTTTGACGTATCAACCCAATTTTCAAAAGGAATCTTACTTAGGCCTAGATGTCGCCACAGTACCTCACTTTTTTTTACAAGTTATTCTCACAACATGCACAAATGAATGGAGGGCACATGTAGCCGTCATGGAAGACAGAGGCAAAAGAAAACAAGATGAACAACTAGCTTGCAAACATTTTTACTAGTTGATGCACATATGTACAACTGAAATCAAATATTTACTTATCCTGTATTGAAAGACACATAACCATTTATTTTTCGCATCTGTCAACATGAGGGTGGCACGGTGGTGCAGTTGGTAGAGCTGCCTCTCAGTGAAAAGATCACACAATCAAATTCCGGTGGGGGGGCATTCTGAGTGGAGTTTGCATGTTCTCTCCGTGCATGCGTGGGTTTTCTCCGGGTACTCCAGTTTCCTCCCACAGTCCAAAAACATGCATGTTAGGCTGATTGGTAACTCTGAATTGTCCCTAGGCGTGAGTGAGAGAGTGGATGGTTGTTTGTCTCGTGTGTCTCTATTTTTCCCTGTGATGGATTGGAGACATGTCCAGGGTGTACTTCACCTCTTGCGCAGTGACTGCTGGATATAGGTGTCAGTGACCCCCCACAACCTAAAAGGTAGTAGATGGATAATGAAAATAATGGATGGATGGATCTGTCAATAAATGAGACTGAACATTCATCAGCTGTTTTAGGTCAGTTAATATTTTCCAAGTTATTTTTTTTTTTTGTTCAATGCCTGAACCATGAGAGAGACCCAACAAAGTTAAGACAGCTCCAGTTTTTTTTTTTTTTAACGTTTTGTCTTTTATCCAAAAGACTTCATCAGTCCGAGGAGCCACAACAAACGTAATCCTATAAGTTGCACACTCACATAGTGAGCCAACAAGTTTGATGGTGATCAGATGATTTCTGGAGTCCGCCCTCTACCCCATCGACTCCTCTGAGACAGCCATGGCCAAAGACATTTCTACCTGGATTATTGCGCATGAACTTTGATGTTTTGAACCACTTTGCCCATGACTGCCTCAGAGGAGTTGACGGGGGGAGAGGGTAGACTCCAGAATGACTTTGTTGGATTTTTTTACCCAGATTATTGAGCACAAACTTAAATGAGAGAGAAAATTTTTAGAACATTGACATTGTTGTCCTTAAACCATTTTGAAATTAATTTGACAGCATGCTTAGGGTCGGTGCCCATTTGGAAGATACATTTGCAGCCAAGCTTTGACTCCTTGTCTTGAGATGTTCAATCTTTCCACATAATGTTCTTTCCTTATGATGCCATTTTTTGTGAGGTTCACCTGTCCCTCCTGAAGCTCTTAAAACTAAATTTAAAAGAGTTCCTGTTGCATCCTCCACCCATCTACATGTCCAATAATCAAACTGAGTGAGTCCAAATGTATTTAACTTTAAACGAGGACCTCCCCTACAAGTTTTTCGCCTCATTACTGTTGAAGTCAGGGCAACAGGCTTTAAGTCGTTCAGTGACTGAACAGTCTTCCCTTTTAGGATTGAAACAATAACAGAGTCTTTCCAAAGCTGGGGGGGGGGGGGGGGGGGCTTGGGGCTATAGGTTTGGAGAAACATATTAAAAAGAAAAGAATAAGTGTCTGCTAGCTGCAGGGCACAGTTTGAGTATATCCCTGTATACCACCAGGACCTGGACTTTTCCTTTCTTTAGTCTTTAGAAAATTTTTAATCACACTTCCAATGTCAATATGCACTGTGGCACCTGATGGATCATTTTTAAAACCAGGAAGCTCATCAGTAAAATCCATCCATCCATTATCTTTTACCCGCTTCTTCCTTTTTGGGTCATGGGGTCGCCAGTGCCCATGTCCAGCAATCACTGTGTGAGGGGCGGGGAACACCCCGAACGGGTCTCCAGTCCATCACAGGGCCACATAGAGACAAACGAGACAACCAACCATCACTCTCTCATTCACACCTAGGGACAATTTAGAGTTACCAATCAGCCTAACATGCATGTTTTTGTTCTGTGGGAGAAAACCGGAGAACCCGGAGAAAACCCACGCATGCACGGAGAGAACATGCAAACTCCACCCAGAAAGGCCCCCGGACCGGGATTTGAACCAGGGACCTGCTCACTGAGAGGCAGTAGCTCTACCAGTTTCGGCACCGTGCTGCCCCTCAGTAAAATAATTAGTGCTAAAACGATTGCAAAATAAATTTAAAAAATTTCACAGTTTCAAAGCAGAAGAGGAGTTAAGAGTAATGTGAGTTTTCTTAGTTGCTATCCCCATCATAGACTTAACCCCCTCCCACGTCAGCCGGAGTTAATGGAGCGGAACATGTTTTCCACCCTCTCCTTATAGTTCACTTTAGCTAATTTTAATTATTTCCTCACTTGTTGTTTGAGTACCGGTATGTGGTATTGAGCCAAATCATTTTTTAAACTAATGTTGTATAAATGTATTTATTTATTCATTAATTTGGAGATTCAAGCTTTATTATTTGCAAAACTGGTGACAGATTTCCTGGGAATTACTGCTCCCTCACAAAAATGAACATAAAACGAAATTGTGTCCGTATAATTCATCCAAACTAGTGGATGTACTTTGAAGCCCGTCGGTGCAACTAAACCAGTCTTGAAGACAAAGGATGGACTTATCTGATCAAACTAGGACCAAACGTCACTTTGCCTTTTGTTCCCTCAGGACAGCTTTGTGGGTGGAACCAAATAAACAATACTGTGATCTGATGAGCAGTTCCATAATGCAGATCCAAACATCTCGTAAGTCGAGTGGGGCGCGTCATATTGATAAAAATTAGCAAGCGACTGTATGAGTCTGCAGTGGTTAAAATCCCCCATGATAAGGTTTGGAGCAGTCAGGGAGATCTTCTGAAGCTGCTGTATGGTCTTTAGCAAAGCTTGAGTAGCTAGGTTCGTATTAGCCTTAGGATGAATGCAAACAAGTGTGAAAAAGCTGCAGAAATTCCCTTCGCAGATAAAACAGGCAGAGAGTAACAAAAGTTCAGTGGGGTACACATCATTTCTCTGATGACAATAGTCTTACATCACGTTTTATTCACGTAAAGGCACAGTCCTCCACAGAGTGATTTACCTGTTACTGTGGAGTCTTTGTCCAAGAAAAAGAGCTCACTAAAGCCTTCAATCTCCAAGTCCAATTGCAAGCTGTGATCCTTGAGTCAAGCTTTTGTCAGTGCCAAAATATAGGTATGTTTAAACTCCTCTAGATACTTCATATTTGCCTGGAGCTTGTCAATTTTGCTGCGGAGTGACTGGACATTCACCAACATTATAGTGAGAGGCAGCATATGATGACGATGACATACCACTTCAGCCTCTGGTAAACCTGATGAGCCTCAGTGTTTTCCCTGCTTCCTTACCCCTGATGGCTTGTGCTCCCAGCACAAATCTTTAGTGGAGATCCATGTCTGGAGAATGTCTGCTAGGAAAACTGCAGCAGGTTCAACAACGCCT